TATGTTGGGTTGATGTTATTTTATGGTGTGGGTCACTGTCGTGTGTGTTTTTTTTAGTATGGTGGTATGTGTATCATTTGATTTTTGGGAAAATTGGCTGCATAATACAAAAAAAAAATTATATTTGCAAATCCAATCAAAACCACATATGTGGCTAAAAAGGTTTTGGTTAGATTTTCAAATATAATTTTTTTTTTGGTTAGACAACAAATTGACCCTTGATTTTTCCACAAGGCATAAAGCCATATTTTGTTTTTTGGTGGCTATGCACACTCTCAAGTCTCAACATATCCATATAGAACATTTTAACGAATATTCAGATTTCATTTACTTGAAATACCACGAATCCATATAGAACATTTTAACATTTCAGTATATTTGAATCCGTACACATATCAAACTTATAGCCAACTAATATTCTGTACTGTCCATTATATGATCGAAAAGGAGATAGATCATTATATTTCTTACCTTATCAAAATACACAATACACTTTGTTGTTACTGGGAAAATCAACTTTTGAAAGGGATAGGAATGGAATAGTAACTAAGAGTAAATTTCCAAACTCGAAATGTGCTTCTTAGGAGATGACAAACTTGAGAAATCTTATTTCAATGGACACACTTTCTCGAAGGCTTCTTGCTCTTTCCGACACAAATCAAACTCGTTGGTGTAGTAATACATACACCCAACGTAAGCATCTATCTCCTTGGGGCATTTCTGGTGAAGATCCTTCAGCCTGTAATTTCATCATTTCAAGTTTTAAAGAACAAATTAGTCCAGAGTTGCAACAAATTTCAACAGCTACTCAACTTCAGATTGTAATCTAGATTGACTGCATCATCGGCATATGGTTTGAAACTACAAAACTAATGAGTTCTCAATAAACAGATCAATATATCACTACACAAGAGTCGAGTAACTGCTTCTAGATCTCCAACAAATGGCTAGTTTCAAAGGCTCTTCGGTTCAATTTCAATCTTAAAGAAATAAACGATCCCTGTGAAAACAAGTGTGCCATGAATTGCAAAAATGTCAACAGCTACTCAACTTCAGATTGTTAAGGACAATGCATCATCTTCCTACGATTTGAAACTACCAAAACTAGTGAATTCTCAAGAAACATATGACTATATCACACTACACAAGCGTGCTCTTAGATATCGAACAAATGGCTAGTTTTTAGGGCTTTTCGATTCAATTTCAGTCAAAGGAAACGAAGCATGTGCCCTTGAAGTACTTTCAACTAGGCCAGATATTTGTTCACATTCCACAATGTATAAAGACTACCCAAGTTCTAGAAATGTACACAATTCCATGTGACTTTTGGTAATTCCAAATTCAAGCAAATCATCTTGTGAGCAATTATGAACACTGGGTAATCCAGAAAACAGCAAAAACAAGTGAAAGATTCTTCATTTCTTAAACCCTATGAACATAATCCCTAACTTTACAATGTGGCCTTATCCACTTATCTTCATCGAGATTAACAAAGAGATTAACAAAACGAGCCCAGACGGATTATACGACTAAGATAACCAAAATTAAGCTTAAAAAAGAAAATTGAAAGGAGAATGAGGTAGAAACGTACAGTCCAAGAAGAGTGACTTCACGTCCCTTTTCGAGACATTTCTCTGGGTTAGGATCATTCTTCTTGCATTTCAGAAACGCCATGTTTTCCGGCATACACCTGATTCCTATATGCTTCGCCGATGCTGTTAAAACCGCCGACGTAGGGATTGGATTCCCCGTTCCGCCCACCGCATTCGCCGCCATCGCTCCAAGATTCTCCAAAAATCCCACATTCAATCTGATCAAAAATCAGAACAATAAGCAAAATGAAGAAACAAAACTTCAAAATCCAAGGTCAAATTCGATTGACGAAAGCCAAACAACGAACATCAATCTCACCTTTTCTTCCGATGACTCTGAGTCTTCTCTACAGTACCAAGCGATGAAGAACACAGAAGAAGCACATTGGCTTTGGTAGGGGTGGGCACGGAGCGGATATCCGGAAAATATCCGGTATATGTGATCCGCTCCGTGAATAATGGATAGTTATTTTTTTGATCCGATCCGTAAATTTTCGAATATCCAAAAATTCGGATATCCGACTTTTTAAAAAATATCCGCGAATATCCGTTCCGATCCGTTATATATCAAATATCAGATTTTTTTTAAATATCCGCGATCCGATCTGTTATAGTT